GGTGTGGTGTTTTGTTTTGGTTTTTGCTTTATTTATTTTGAGAGAGAGTGTGTGTGAGAGCATGAGGAGGGGAGAAGCAGAGAGAGAGAGAGAGAGAGAGAGAGAGAGAGAGAATCCCAAGCAGGCTCTGTGCTATCAGCGCGGAGCCTCATGTGGGGCTCAAACTCATGAACCCATGAAATCATGACCTGAGTTGGAATCAAGTGTCGGGCACTCAACCGACTGAGCCCCCCAGCCGCCCCAGGATAGGTGTGTTTTAAGATGTAGTTTGTTATTGTTATTTGAGGTGTGGTGAGGGAAACAGGTCAGGATGCTGCTGCCACTGAAAATATGGTCTGTTACACTCACAGAGCCCAAGAGAAAGGGCCATGCCATGGGGGGCCATGTGGGAAAGCACCGGGCTGGGACAGGAGGCGAGCCTTTGGTGTGTTTCCCATAGGAAAGAACGGTCAGCATAATAAGCAAGCTTATTTGGCTGGTTTGAATAATTTCAGCAGGCTCTGGGCCATGGGGACTGTCTCCAGTTGTCTGGTACCAGGCCCTGGGGTGATTAGGGCAGGGGGAAGTGGCCTGTGGAGTAAGAACCCCATAAAGGAGGTAGTTGGGGGTGTAGGCTCTGGGTTGGTTGGTTTGCAGGTGGAAAGTATGTTCACGGGCTAGTCAGATACTGTCTGTTGGAGTTGGCCTGTCCTGGAAGAGACTTCTTTCTGTGTATTTGGATCTACTCAATGGACTCTTTGTCGGTAACTTTGCCCTTTCCCTCTTCAGGCTGTCTCTTTGGTTAGGTGCAGGATTTTAGCCCTGACGTCCCTGTGCTGGTCTTTGTGTGTTCGCTGGCTTATGCGATTTTGGTTTTGATGTTTCACTCGCCACAGGACCACCTCGAAAGCCTTTCACAGTGTCGTGCACTTACGGTAGCCCAGAAAATTGCTTTTTTCTTCAGATCCACGGAGTTGCGTTGCCACTGTCTGAGCTGAATTTTCATTTTGTAGGGGCGGGATTAAATGCCTGCTTTTTCTATTTCAGGTCTATTGGTTAGAGCTTTAGAAAAATGTTTTTAAAAGTTTACCTTTAAAAAATTTTTTTTTGGGAGAGACAGAGCGCAAGTCGGGGAGGAGCAGAGAGAGAGAAGGAGACACAGAATCCGAAGCAGGCTCCAGGCTCTGAGCTGTCAGCACAGAGCCCGACACGGAGCTCAAACTCAAGAACAGCAACATCATGACCTGAGCCAAAGTTGCATGACCTTAACCAACTGAACCACCCCCCAGGTGCCCCCTGAGCAAGTTAATTTTGCTGGGACTCACTTTCCAGAGGAACCTACTTCAGAGGATTGTGGTGGGGATTAATTTCAATAACATGACCTGCCACCTTTCTCAAAATGATCCGTATATCTCCTGTGTGCACAGGAAATGGACGAAGTCAAAGGATAAATAAGCCATCTCTTGCCAGAATGTCAATTAAACTTGGAAACTGGTTGGGGAGGGGAGGGGGATGTATTATTTAAATAAGAGCAGATCTTATTCTTTCTCATTGCCATGTAGTAGTCCATTGTTTAGATAAACCACATCTTCTTGATTCATTTGTCCATTGATGGACACTTACGGTCTTTCCATGTTTTAGCTATTGTTGAGAGTGCTGCTATGAACATGGGGTATACATGTGTCCCTATGCATCAACACTCCTGTATCCCTTGGGTGTCTGTAGCAACATGGATGGAACTTGAGGGTGTTATGCTGAGTGAAATAAGTCAGGCAGATAAGACAAATATCATATGTTTGCACATATAGGATTAGGAGGAACTTAACAGAGGACCGTGGGGAAGAAGAAGGGGGGAAATAGTGGGGGAGAGGGAGGGAGGCAAACCATGAAAGACTCTTGAATACTGAGATCAAACTGAGGACTGATGGGTATGGGGTGGGAGGGGGGTGACGGGCATGGAGGAGGGCACTTGTGGGGATGAGCACTGGGTGTTATATGGAAACCAACTTGACAATAAACTATTTATAAAAAAAATAAATAAGAGCAGGTCTGTTATGTGAGTTCCACCTTAGGTCTTAGGGACAAACTCAGTATTGTAAAGAAATGGCACATTTGGGACAGCCAGCTTCGGTCGTGCCCTCAGAGCCGAAGCATTCCTGCTTTGCCATTAGGAGTGTCTCCGTGAGAAGCACTGAAAAGAGTCCACCATAGCCCATGCCGGCCATCGCACAGTCTCAGTTAACATCCCATCATGGCCAGCATTGGGACTGCCATCTTCCCTACTAACCTGCTTCTTATCCTGGGCCCCCGCCCCAACCTGAGTACTTGACACCAGTGGCCATTCAGCTGTACGAGTCAGCAACCAAGCAGTCGCCCCTGACCCCTCTCTTTCCTTCACATCCTTAACTTGATGTTAAGGCATTGATCTTTCAGATACTCAACTCTGACCGTTTATTCCCATTGCCCTTAGAATAACGTGGTCCATGAGGCTTTGTGTGGCCCAGCACCCTCCCGCCACCTCCCTGCAGCCCTCTGTCTACATCTCGAGTCCTCCTCCACCTGGGGGCCGCAGTGCTTTCTCTTCACCTGTGGTCACATGGTTCCTCTGTCGGGGGCCAGTGCCCAGCTTCCTGTGTGTCTGGAGTGTTTCCTTCAGCCCCTACCTAACTGCCCTTTGCCAAGATAATATATATATTCACCATTCAAATTAAGCTCGTGAGTCTCTTCCTCAGTAAAGCCTCTTCTCATGGCCCAGTAAGGGAGGTTACTGATCACACGTCTGGCAGAACGTGTCCCTTTCTTTAAACAGGCCTTCCCTCCATTTGTAACCATACGTTAGGTGATATTATTTGATGACCGTCTAAACCATGTCTTAGTCTGTCGACTCAGTGAGGGTAAGGACTGTCCCTTCGGTCACCATCATCTCCAGCCCCTGGCAGAGTGCCTTTCACCTTGGGCAGGGGTCTGTCGTCCTTGAATGAGCGCGATGTGACAGCCGAGGTCCGCGTGGCTACGTGGTAGGCCTGGGCGTGCCCACATTCTACTGAAACTTGCTGTCTCCGCCCGCCAAGCCCATGGCTTTGCCCACCTTGATGCCGATACTTCCTTTAATGCTGGGTGCCAGGTCCTTCCGCTGGTCTCTGGTTTTGAAAAGCCCCTGGGAAGCTTCCTTCTGTGGAAAAGGAATCTGTCCAATTTGTGGCTCAGTACAGGACAGGCAAGGCGCCTCTCTCTGTGCCTTCTGCGTGGCCTCACGCCACCCAAAGGATCTGTTCACAAAGTCCTTGCTTTAAAACCCTCCTCCCCTCGGCCTATCCGATCTTCTCCACTATCCCAGCAAAAGCGGGCAGAACTTTCTAACCTAAGCGCATGCAGTTAGTGCTCTCTCTTTACTGGGGGTTGCTCTTGGGCACAGAGAACATGTCTGCTCTCCTGCCATCACACCATGTGATCTGATAGGAGCCCTAAAACTCCAGTGATTCCTACCCCCACCTTTATGGCTTGACCTTCATACAACCCTCCCGCCCTCGCTTCCGCGCGTATGTATTTCTGTGTATCTGCGTTACGACTAACCAGTTCTCAGTAGCTGTAGGTGAGCGCAGCCTAACCTCGTATTTCTTTCCCGGTCTCCTACCGCTGAATTCATTAGACGTGAAGAGAGAGAATATTTTAAAAATAGTAAGTCCCAATGTATATAAAAAGAGATTTTCAACCTTGACATGACAGAATAACCCAGTGCGCTTTTTATTCCAGTATAGATCTCCAGGTCCCAGCCTGGACCTATTAAATCAGAGACGCTGGGGCCAGGGTATCCGTGTTCCTCAGACAGGCAGAGGGACTTGACCAAGGTTACACAGCCAGTAGATAATAGCATCACAGTCCCCGTTTCCTTGCTTGCTTTCTAGTGCTGATTCATATTCCTTGGACTAAATTCTACTGAACTCTGTGTGTGTCATTAACCTGTATCGGAATTTGTCTGCATAAAAGTTCCCTTATTTTATAACTGCCCCCCCACCCACCAATAACCGTGTGTCCAAAGGATGTGGACATTCTCAAGCTGACAAAAGCGAACAAAGTAACTTCTCACCCCCTTTCCCCACTGTTTACCCAAAAACAGAGATGTCAGCTGCTGGGGTGGCTCGCTCGCCTCTGTGGGCTCTGCTGACTTGCCCCCCACCTGCCCTTGAACCACAGGCCTGTCCTGTGGGCGGCCGCTCACTCTTCCACTCCTGGGCTCTGTTTACACTCGAATTACCCTCTCTCGTGCCCACTGATCCGAGAGAAACGCTCCCTCTCCCTCCTCCAGCCCCACCTGCTGGAGTATGGGGCTCAGATGAGCAGCTGGGTCACGGTCAATGTGCATTTCATAACCAGGCAGCTCACAGGTCTCTTGCTGCTTGCATTTGCAGCCTAAAAGAGGGGAGCAATGGGCATCTGTACTGTGGGGGGGTCCCCCACTACCTACCTCCATCTCTCAATCCAGAGGGCTTTGTGGGAGATATTTTTTTTAGTAGTTGGGAAGAAAAAAAAATCCTCAGTGACTTCTATATAAACCACATAATTTATTTAAAAAAAAAAAAAGGTAAAAAGAAAAAAATTGCACCTACGAGGACCGGCCACCGGCAGGAAGATGCGCTGATAGAGGCTGAGCTGACCTTGAAGGTCGCATTTCTGACTTTGAATCCTGGCCCCTCTTTTCAGTAGTTCTGTGGCTCTGATAAGTCCTTGAATTTCTCTGTGCAACAGATTATTCCGCCATAAAGGGGGATGAAATAAAATGAAATACCAGCGCCTGCCTCTTAATTAGTTTGAAGCTTGTTTTGAAGATTAAATGAAATAATCTGTTGGAAATGCTTGTTCTCAGATCAAAAAATGTTCACAGATCTAAGTAACTTACATTAATAAAACAGTAACTTGAGGAAGCTTCTCCATATGTTACTTTTTAATACATATTAACATGTTTCCTCTGAAAAGCGTCTTTGTTACTGACTCACACCTGCTTCTCTGTGTTTTGCTCGTAGCTCTGGAAAGGAAAATATCAATGAGGCAAAGCAGAGAGGAGCTGATAAAACGAGGGGTTCTGAAGGAAATCTATGACAAAGGTAAGGGAAACTGGTCCCCTCTGCAGGGCCCAGAAAGGCACGCGTATTTCTTGAAGTTGGATTCTGTTTGCTGTATCACTTTATCAGGATTTGAACCTTTAAGCTCCTGACAGTTCTGGAGAGAAAAGAGAATTTTGCAGACCGTGCCAAAGCTCTCAGGATTATATTAGCAGAGAGAAACCAAGCTCCCCTTTTCTCACCATTGGAATGAAACCACGGGATGCTGTAAAAAATGATGTGGCCGCAGGAATGATGTGGGTTCCTGGTTGGGAGCCTGTGGGTGTTCGAATACACACAGCCGGGGTGAAGTTCATTGCTGGGGCTCTTTCCGGCACTAGGTCCCCAAGACAAATGTTAAAACCCTCCAGGCGTCTAGAATTTCCTTAACAGATTTTTTTTTTACTCAGTCTGTCTTCCCATAATAAAAGGCGTTGAAGTGGTGAAAATTAGAAACTGTGGCCGTACACATAAGATATTTTGAAAGATAATATTGGCGGTAATACAGATGCTCTGTGAATGTATCCACAAGTGTTTGTCAGTGAATACTGTGTGTCTTTGGCTTATTGAATGACTGTCTTTAAATATAGTTATATGCTGTGGTTTACGCAGTATATTAAGTATTCTTTATTTTTTTAAGAGCTTTGCTGTGTTTTTAAATTTTTTAATACTTATTTTTGAGAGAGAAAGAGAGACAGAGTGTGAGCAGGGGAGGGGCAGAGGGAGAGAGGAAGACACAGAATCCGAAACAGGCTCTAGGCTCTGAGCTGTCAGCACAGAGCCCGACACGGGGTTCGAACCCACAAACTGTGAGATCGTGACCTGAGCCGAAGTCGGATGCTTAACCAAATGAGCCACCCAGGCGCCCCGAAGAGCAGTGATGTTTTTAATTAAGCTTTCTCTCCTTCTCCCCCCTGCTCCTCCTCTCTCTCCCTTCCCCCAACCCTTCCTCCCCTCTCCTTCTTCCTTCCACTCTCCACGTTAAGACTCGCACTGAAATGACAAACTGTCATCTTCCAGTCTTGATACGGACATCACCAGTAATTGTTTCAAGTATGACTGTTTGGAGCTGGTGTTAAGTGGTGGGCCAGATTATTAAAGCACGTATTCTCCTCTAAAGAGGGATCCTGATCGTTCAGGCCACCCTGTACTTCTGCGCTCACCGTGTTTCTGTGAGTCTTCCGCAGGCCTCCCTTGTGTTCTAACATAAGAGCAGGTTGGGTTTCTCAGGCTGGGACTTCCCACTGATCGCACGGTGGTCAGCGACTCGGTCCCTATTCCCCGGGTACATTTCACCTCCTCCGTTCTGGTTATGGGACTTCCTGATGGCACCTTCAGGGACTTTTTTCTTACCACCAATGGCCGCCCTGAAAGGCTAGTAGGCAGTGCCCCACCCTGACCTAAGCTGCAGGGGGTGCTGGAAGTCGGGTGTGAAGTTGTGCTACTTGAGACTACCTTCTATAATTATCAGGCCCTCCCGGGGCCCAGAAAGCCCTTTGGTGAGCCACTTGATCTTTCTTTCCACTGCTGGGTAAGGCCTTACTAAACTACAGCTCTTTGGATGATTAAGCTCCAGGGAAAAGGAAGCCACAACTTGGTCACTTTTCTCATATGTCTTGCTTTCTGTACAACACCCACCTCTCCCCCCACCCCCCAGCCTCTCCTGCAGCGACCTTCGGTCTTCCTGCGTTTCTCCTTGTTACTCCCCGGCTAAGATGGCTGGAGTCTGAAGACAGGGGTAATGTGAGCATCCGCATAATAAGCATCTGCTTGCTTAAATACTCCCTGCACATTTTAAGCCTGCTCAGATCTAGGGGCGCCTGGTGGCTCAGTTGGTTAAGCGTCCGACTTTGGCTCAGGGTCACGATCTCACAGTTCGTGAGTTTGAGCCCCGCGTTGGGCTCTCTGCTGACAGCTCAGAGCCTGGAGCCTGCTTCGGTTTCTGTGTCTTAAACAATCATTAAGAAAAACATTTTTTTTTTTATTTTTTTTAATGTTTTTTTTGTTTTTTTTTTTTTATTTCTAGGAGAGAGAGAGACAGCGTGAGCAGGGGAGGGTCAGAGAGAGAGGGAGTACACAGACTCCGAAACAGGCTCCAGGCTCTGAGCTAGCTGTCAGCACAGAGCCCGACGCGGGGCTCGAACCCACGAACCGCGAGATCATGACCTAAGCGAAAGTCGGACGCTTAACCGACTAAGCCACCCAGGCGCCCCAAGAAAAACATTTTTAAGCCTGCTCAGGTCCAGTTTAATGACCCCTTCCCCTCCCTCCTGGCTTCCCGTAACCCTTCTGTCTTACTGTTAACCTTTAGGAATACTCTCCAGAATGTATTTAACTACAGCATGTACTCCTCCCATCAGAGCTGATAACTGGGTGAGGGTAACCATGGCCCAAGAAACTTCTGACTTAACCAAAGATGCCATAGGTTGTGAGAACAAAAGCCTCATTTTCTAGAGACAGAAATGGGGGTGCTGAGGCTGGGGCCTCCAATGGTATTCCCATGCGCTTCGTTGGTGCGCTCGGTGGCTGGCGGTGGAGGAAGGGACCCGATTAGCCTGCACTTGTCGCCACAGCGCCCCCACTCATTTGTCTGTGCGCTGTCACTCTCTGGACTTCCCCGTTCAGTTGTTGGCTGGCTTTCCTTACCAGCATGGGCACACCAGGAGAACACGGACCTCAGAGGCTTACCGCCAGGTCCCTCCCCGCCCGAGATAATGCTTGAGAGAGAGAAGGCTCGCAGCCGTGTTTATTGTTTGGATGAAGGGAACAGGAGGAGAAGAGAGGGACTAAAACTGGAAATCCTATCGCACGCAGAACATGCAGAAGTTTGTATTTGCTCTGGGTTTTTCTGATAATAAGTATCCATTTGGGTCGCTGTGGATCTGCGTCTTGTTGCCTTGGGTCCCATCAGCGGTTAGGAACATGGGCCCCGGCGTCAGATGGCTTGGGTTCCTTTCGCATTCCATTCCTGACCAGCTGTGCAGCCTTAGTCGAATTGCTTACCTTCTCTGGGCTTCTATCTGAATAGAATGAATGTGGGGATGAGGATTACATAAGATGGCACCCGTATGTTAGTTTGCGAGGGGGCTGGCATAACAAAATGGCACCCACTGAGTGGCTTACGCGACAGGGATGTACTTCCTCACTGATCTGGAGACTGGAAGTCTGAGATCATGACGTCAACAAGACTGATTTCTGGAGAGGTGTCTCTGCTTGGCTTGCAGATGACTGCCTTCGCACATGGCCTCTCCTCTGCCCACACACTCCTGGTTCCCCTCCTCTTCTTCTTTTTTAAAATGTTTTATTATTTTATTTATTTTTGAGAGAGAGAGAGATCATGAGCAGGGGACAGAGAGGAAGAGACACAGAATCTGAAACAGTCTCTAGGCTCTGAGCTGTCAGCACAGAGTCTGACGCGGGGCTTGAACTCACGAGCTGCAAGATCATGACCTGAACTAAAGTCAGATGCTTAGGTGACTGAGCCACCCAGGCGCCCCTCCCTTCCTCTTCTTAGAAGGACATCTGCCCTATCAGATTGGGCCCCACCCTATGACCCCACTGAACCCTAATTATCTCCTTATAGGCCCTTTCTCCAAATACAGTCACATTGGCGGCTTAGGCTTCAACATATGAATTTGGGAGGTGAGGGTACCCAGTCTTGGCCATAACAACTTGTAGAATAAGCTACTGTCACCCCATAAATGCTCAAGAAATACCATTATTAGTGGTCATCGTCATCATCCTTTATAGGTTTTGAGACCCTTTACATGCCTCACCCTTGGTCAGCAGGCCCAAGAGTTAGGAAGGAACATTGCTGCCCCCTTTTATCTAGAGGTGCGGGGTCTGCAAACCCTTCTTACCAGGTGGGGGTGCTGACACGAGACCCTTCCCCCCACACACACACCTCTGCTTAGGTTTTCCTCTTCTCCTCCCCTTCTAGGACCTTATTTACCTTGTAAGAGCTGGGACCCTGGTGGGTAAAACACATAAAACCCTGTTGCCACGACCCAAGTGGACAGCAAGTGGCAAAGGGACTTTACTCATTTTCCAAGTTGTGTGTTTCCGAGAGGCATTTCATGGACTTGGAGCAAGCATTCCATATTGCCTGTGGTAATGCCTCGTTCTACGCCGCCTCCTGTGTTAGCATGCACTGCTCACGACTCACTTGGCAGCGCGACAGAGTCCTCCAGGGGTGCATGGACCCCGACAGCGGCCCGTTGGTTTATAATGACTGTGTCTGTCCATCTGGCCACAGGGCCAGCCTCTGTCCACACCTCGGCCATGCTCTGTCGGCATGAACTTGCTAATGCGGCGGAGAGCTGTTTATCCTTAGTTAGGGTGCTTTCCTCTTTCAACTTCTTTATGTTATTGATTTTGCTTAGTGATACCCCACTTGTTCGTAGAAAGTATAAAAGTAACCCGTGGGGCTGGGAATCTATCAATATGCGGGCGGGGTGAACTCAGAATTGATGAGGTTTTATGACTTCACAGTTCTCCTCAGAATTCTGTACATGTTGCTTAGCGAGTTAAAAATCCCAAACTGATGCATAAAAGGTCAAATCTGGCAAAACGAGACCTGGGGTGGAAGAGGGAAAAGTATCTCAAATGTCTACGAGGAGCAAGGTCAGGAATCTTCCATTTAGTGAAATGTGTTGGAGGTAAAGAGCATGAGGTAGTCAATGTCTTGGGTGGTTTTTTCTTTATTGATTTCCATACAGAATCACATAATGTTAGAATCCAGAAGGAACTTTAGATAGAAGTGGTTTTTTTTTTTTTTAAGGTTTATTTATTTATTTTGAGAGAGTTTGAGTGTGTAGAAGCATAGGAGAGGCAGAGAGAGAGAGAATTCCAGGAATCCCACACAGGCTCGAGGCTCAGTGCGGAGCCCGATGCGGGGCTCCATTCCACAATCAGAACTATGAGACCATGACCTGAGCCAGAATCGAGAGTCAGATGCTTAACTGACTGAGCCACCCAGGTGCCCCTACATAGAAGTGTGGGGT